GGGGAGGGGGGCTAGGATTTAGGACCTAGAATGGAGGAGGTCTTGAAAGGGGTTTGGGTGGAAGGAGAAGAAAAGACCTAGAAAGGGGCACAGAGACCAAGATTTTTGAGGGGAAAAAAACCTAACTCACTGTTTTGCCTAGCCCCCAGCCACCCCATGCTGGGTGTCAGGTCTCGATTGTTACAAGTCTCGAATCAAGAAGGTACCAGTTCTGCTGTTTCCAACAAACTCTTGTATTGCGCCTCAATGCTGGGCAGGAGAAGCCAAGGTAGAAATGAAACTAAGTGACATCTATGGCCTTAAGACCGCTGTGGTCTTAATCCAGGACATTGACCATTTTTCTGCCCCATCTACCAGCTTTCCACAGTGTTTCAAACCCCTCCCGCCCTTGCCAAGGGCATTTCATCCAGTCCTCTGCCTCTGCATTGGCAAGGCTCATAGCATCACTTCTACGGATTACGGAAGAGGTCATCCCTATGCTCACCATCACTACCAATTTAAAGAAGACATTTCCACCAGCACTCTTCCTTCCCCGTGCCCCTTGCTCCCACACTTTGTTTTCTGCATTTTTGAGCTGGAGTTGCCACCCAGAAGTCCAAGTAGTCCATCCAGTTCCCTCACGTGTGCCCCCTGAAAGTCTGCGAGTGTGAGAGGCGCGAGGGGACAGGGATAGGGGTGATCCAGCTAAGACCCTGATCCAGCTAGGGCCCAATGTGTGTGCGGTTCAGAAGGCAGAATCCTCGGGGCACTGGGTGAAGGGTGTCCTGGGATCGGAGTGCCTGAGTAGTCCCTGGCTGGCAGCTGCCGGTCTGGTGGTATGGGTGGTCTCTGCTGGCCGTTGGGCGAGGGCCTCCCCATCCCTGCTGGTGGCCAAGGTCCTGCTCCGGAGCCGAGAGCCCAGGCCGCGCAGGGTGTTGCGGAAACCCTCGGCGCTGAAGTAGTACACAAGCGGGTCCAGCACACAGTTGGCACCTGCCAGCAGCACCATCACCATCAGCACCCCGCGCACCTGATCGCGGGCCTCCTGGCTCGCCACCACCAAGTTGCCCCGCAGCAGCCCATAGACGGCTAGCGTAGCGTTGTAGGGCACAAAGCACAGAAGAAAGATGACCAGGTTGACCAGCAGGAGTCGCACCGTTTTCCTCCGCCGCTGGCTCTGCGTGGCGTCGGGCTGCGCCAGGGTCCAGAAGACCCGGCCGGACGAGTAGACCACGGCCACCAGAGGCAGCAGGAAGCCCAGCGCCTCCGCTAGCAGCACGAGCGGCAGCAGCCTGCCCTTCCACAGCTCGTCGCTAAAGCTCTCGAAGCACAGGTGCACCTGGCGGCCGCGGTAGCTGCAGGGCGAGGGCCTGTGCACAAGCACGGTGGGCACGGCGAACACCAAGATGAGCGCCCACACGCCCAGGCAGAGCAGCCGTGCAACACGGGGCCGCCGCAGGTGGCGCAGCCGCAGCGGGTGCACGACGGCGACGTAGCGGTCAACGTTGATGAGGGTCAGGAAGATGCAGCTTCCATACATGTTCATCTGGAAGATGGCTCCCGCAGTCTGGCACAAGAGGTCTGGGAAGGGCCAGTAGTGCAGCGAGTAGTAGGAGAGGCGCACGGGCAAAGAGAGGGTGAAGAGCAGGTCGCTGGCCGCCAGGTTACACATGTACACGCTGACTACGGAGTGCACGCGCAGCGCACGCAGGAAGACCCAAAGGGCCAGCCCATTGAGTGGGAGCCCTGTGGCCAGCACCAGGCTGTAGACCACCATGTGCAGGCGGTGGGTGGTTCGGTAGTCGGGGCATGGGATATCAGAGCCGTTAGTAGAAGTGTTGACTGAGGAGCTGGCCAACATTGTGCCAAAGTGTGCGGAGGAACTAGGCTGGGGACATCATGGGGCACACCAAGGTCCTGGCATGGGGTTCATCTCCAGGGCAAGGCCTGGAGACTGCACAGACAGTCTGAAAGCAAGCAGAGGCAGGGCATGGGAATGTGGGCTATGGCTGCAGGACAGATGGCTGCCTGGAGTGGATGCCTTTGGTCATAGCTTCATCATCTGGAGACCTGAAATAGGAAGGCAAGCCAAAAGTCAAGCTCATGCAAGGACAGGGCCAAAGACACAAATGTTTATCTAGCTAAACTGCCTGCCTGGCCTCTTGAATCTTTTCTCAGCTTCAAGTATTTTCCCCACCTTCCAACCCGCCAGAATAGCTTTCTGCAGCAGGGCTAGATAGCACAGTGTAAAACTGCCTGGGTTTAAATCCTGGCTTTGCCAATTTGCCTAGCTTTCATCCTCAGAAAATCTCTCTGAACCTCCTTTTCCCTCACCTGGGGAGAAAAAAAGGAGGAGGTCATCTCACTTCATGAGGCTGTTAAATGAGATATATAAAGTGTTTAGGCTTCCATTACTATCTAATAATCCCTCTTCCTTTCTTCTACCAATGCTTACTGAGCCTTTAGAAGGTTCCAGGCATGTTCACAATAGTGAACAAAACAAATGTCTTGCCCCCACCTACTTTCATTCCATTAGAGGGAGACAGGTAATAAAGTGCAAGTAAACAGATATGTCAGGTGGTGACAAGTGCTATGGAGCACCTCCCCGGAACAGGTGTTCTGCTGGCTCCCCATTGTCTAAAGAATAAAGTTCAAGGGCCCAAGTACAGTACAAAATCCCAGCCCCACTAATTACATCCACTGTTGCTTTTGTGTGGGCTGGGTTTCTGCTCAGAGCGCCCGGGGTTCAACTTGATTGTTTGACCTCTCCAACTCTCAGTTTCTTCATCCGTAAAGTGGGGATAATAATATAATGGGACTTTTATAGGCTGATTGCATGCCACCACAGTCCTGCCAGGCAGGACAAAGCCCTGTGGATTGAGCTTTTCCAGGTGCTCCCCTGGAGGGTCTGACTAGGGAGCTTCCAAATGGAGTTCTGGCATAGGAGGGAGATGGTGATTTGGTATTGAGAGCTCAAAGGGGACCCTAAGCCTGGGGAGCAGGGCAGTGAGGTGAGGAAGTACCATGGGTGCTGATGAGGCTGCTGGAAAGAGCAGACCGCAGCAGCTGTAGTCCTCAGGCAACAGCTGGCAGACAAGGGTATGGCTAAGAGGTAGAGGAGCCAGAGGAGTCCACCTTCCTTAATGCCACAAAGCCACAGAAGCTAACCAGATGCCATCCACAAGGTCAGACAATTAAGTTCATGAACTCATCCTAGAAAAAGTGCTATATACTTCATTGCTGAATATCACTACGGTGACCTTCAAATTACTTCCCTTGGGAAGCTATGCACTGACGCCACCACCTAGTCCACCCTTCAAAGAAATTTTGGAACTCTTTCTGGAATGGCCATCAGAGCTGTCATCGTATTACCCTTGATATCCTGAATGTCATCCAGATGTCTTCCTTTCAATATTTCCTTTATCTTCGGGTAAAGAAAGAAGACATTGAGGGGCCAGATCGAGTGAGTAGGGAGGGTGTTCCAATACAGTTATTTGTTTACTGGCTAAAAACTCCCTCACAGATAGTGCTGTGTGAGCTGATGTATTATCGTGATGCAAGAGCCATGAATTGTTTGCAAAAAATTTGGGTCGTCTAACTTTTTCACGCAGCCTTTTCAGCATTTCCAAATAGTAAACTTGGTTAACTGTTTGTCCAGTTGGTACAAATTCATAATGAATAATCCCATAATCCCTCTGATATAAAAAAAGTTTAGCAAATCCTCGCAACAAGTTCGCAAACTTGTCATACCTCGTATTTTGTGTATGTGTAATAAAATATGCATAACTTGATATTTACCATTTTAACCATCTTTAGGTGTACAATTTAGTAGCATTAAGTACATTCACAATGTTGTGTAACCATTGCCATTATTTCCAGAATTTTTTCACCATCCTAAACAACAACTCTATACACATTAAACAATAACTGCCCGTTACACCACCACCACCACCACGCCTGCCATCCAGCCACTGGTAACCTCTATTTTTCTTTCTGTCTCTATGAATTTGCCTATTCCAGATACCTCATATGAGTGAAGTCATATAATATGACTCCACTTTTGTGTGGCTTATTTCGCTTAGCATAAAGTTTTTAAGGTCCATCTATGTTGTAGCATGTATCAGAACTGCATTCTTTTTTTATGGCTGAATAATATATTCATATATATATATATATATATATATATATATATATATATCAAATTTTTGTTTATACATTCATCTGTCGATGGTTACTTGGGTTTTTCCACCTTTTGGCTATTGTGAATAATGCTATGAACATGACTGTCCACATGCCATCTTGGGCAGAGAAGTTGTCCAGAGACCCTGAGCAATTATCCTAAGATACTGGACTTATTCCTTTCCAAAGGAACTGCTTAAATTCTTACATAGACCTAAATTGTATATCTGACTATAACAAGTTTTCTTGTGGAGTTTTTGTTCGTTTGTTCTCCCTCCAACCACAACTACCAGCAGGTTAAGACTTGTGAGAGATATAGTAGAACAGTTAAAGGGAGTAAAGAAACATTTCTTCAACAACAAAAATAATACAGAATAGGGCTTAAACATGCTAACAAATAAAACCAGGCTTTTTTCCTGACACACGCCTCACCTCCCATGCTCCCTTGCTCCAGTAACACCAAACTAATAATTTTGTACATACCTTATGTTTTCAAGACTCTGCCTTTGCACATACTGTTTCCTCAGCTGGAATGAACTTCATCCCATTCTCCAACCGGCAAACTCAGTTATCTCTTAGGACTCTGTGAAGCCTTTCCTGACTCCCTCCCTCCCCACAAGGCAGATGTGGTCCCCTCACTTTGTGTACTTCTACTTTGTGCACAGGTTTACTTACCATAGCTGTTCCTATTTGTACTGTAATTAGCTGTTCTTAGTTTGCACCTCCCACTAGACTGTGAGCTCCTTGAGGGAGGGGCTGTGGACTGTGACTTATTCATCTTCGCACCTACATCAATAAATGTTGAGTGAAATAGCTGTTGTTTACGAACCACTCAACATATCCCAGGGTATTTTATATGCATAATCTCTAGTCCTCCCAACAGCCTTCTGGGGTTGGTCTTTATCCTCATTTTTACTGGAAAGGAAACAGGAGCTCAAAAGCTCAGTCAGTAAGGAGTGAAGTCAGGAATCAAACCCAGGACCACCCGGCTCCAAAGTCCAAGTTGTCTGGCGTTGTTTCCAACAGGAGTGGATGGTTGGAGATGAGGATGGATGGTGCACAGAGCACCTGGACTTTTACAGCTGCTTATATGAAATCTTTGCCCATAGATAAATTGTTTTACATCCTCATTTGTCCAATTGAAATATAGACTTGTTGGGGCCGGCCGAGTGGCGCGATGGTTAAGAACTCGCTTGGGATGCCAAAGGGCCCCGGTTTGGATCCCACATATGAGGGCCAGTGACACTGCCCTCCACAGCTAAGATGCTGAACAACAGCTCAACCTGGAGCTGGGCT